GTAAGGTTAAAAGTAATCAATATGTAGTCTGATTATATCATCTAAAATGTGTAATGTAATGTATTGTTACTTAATACAAGTTTTGCCATGTAATTTGGAATCAGTAACATGGTACAATTGGCAAGTAATCTACCCAGCACTGCGTCTGAATTACTATTGAAATTACTGGATTTTGACTATCGTCATACAAATTCATCATACAAAAGTAAAAGTGTGATCACACTTAGTCAGGTTTGAAGCCATATTGAATTTAACGAGGATGAAATGGCACATACCGTATAAAGGTCCTAGATCATACAACTCAAGTTTTAAAACTATTTTATGGAGTTTTTGTGTACAGAAAGTTTTTTATTTATGTAATCCCTCACAGCCTCGTTTTCATTCCTGTCAAAAACTAAATATGGCGCTACCCTGACTAAGGTTTATAGACAATGGGTGCTTCTCAAACGGAAGGACACATCCTTGTAAGGCTGCATATTTAGGCTGCTACGTCATCAACCATATCAAAGGACATCTCAGTTTGAAGGATCCTTAGTAGGTAGTCTTCATTTCGCATCCTTTATTTAGCCTGTTATGAAAGATGCATCAGATGTATCCTCACATCCTTCAATCACCCACAATACCTTGCACACATTCCAATTCACAAAAAGTAATTAGCATGCCATTGAACTAGTAGTTTCATTGTTATGCAAGACAAAAAAAAACGATTTTTGAGGTGAAAGCATTATGCTTTTTCTTGTGTTCTTTTTTTAAATGAATCACATAATGCTAAACAGTGTGTAATGTAAACCACTGGGGGACCACTGATGCTTGTCATTACCTGTACTGCATTAATAGAATGTTTTCGATATAAAGTAATCTTCAAATTATAATTTTAATAGTATTTTCGTGCCGTGACAGCAGGGCATTTATGATGTAGCCATGAGCACTTTTTAGAGCATCTCATTTTAGCGTTTAATGCTGAGAAAGACTGTAGCCTTGAAGCCTCATAAGGACTGGACTAGGAATAACCCATCCTCACTAGGATGTGATCTTCCATTTGAGAAATTTTGATGCATTCTGATGCATCACTTTATTTTTGATGAACTCCTAGTGCCTGTGCTACAGGACAAAATCAGTGCCGGTCCTCCCTATACGTAAAGTATGCAAGTTGCGTTGGGCCCACGAAACACCCTTGCTCTCAAAGATGATTTAATGACTAGGGCTGTTTGATTAATAAAATGTTAGGTTCATTTTTGATTTGGGCTTCCAACGATTATGAAAACACTATGTCGCATGCCGTTTCTTTCCTTTAAAGCAGTGCGCTGTCGCTCTTCCTACATAACATCCAAATCAGTTAAATTATTTAATGTTACTGTTGTACAGTCTCCTGCCAGATGTGCTTAATACTAAAAAAGAGGGGAAAAAAGAAAAAAGCAGATTGAGTTGTGAAAGAGATGCTGTTCCCCAGGTGGCTTTTTGTGTGTGCAATCCGAGATGGAACGACAACAAGTATAGGCTACTTTGGGCTTTGGATGTGCGCTTAAATGGACAAGTATACAAACATATGTCAAAAGAGGTGAGTTTTCACTTAAATGCAGCCAGTTATGTCATAAAGTGAACATAAACAGTTAGCAATGAACATAAACAGAAAGTAATGAATGCTTGTCAAAATATTGGATCTGTGTATTCAGTCTTAAAGTGACAGCAGCCTAATAAACTTAATTTGTGTCTTTTTCTGTTGTATTTGTCCTATTGTTTGTAATTTTCTTCTTTTGTATTGTATTACTGACTGTTTAAACTCACTGTTGTTTGTTGACAGTAAAACTGCTCTGAAAGACTAAGGGGTTCAGGCTAATTTTGGGGTTTTATTAACACACCGACAGGGGCCCCTGACAAAGTTTTGCTTGGGGCCCCCAGAAGTATAGGACTGGCAGCAGATAAATGGATTTGCAACATTCGTGTCCAGTGTAGACACAGTATAAATGCAAGAACACTTTCTGTGTGAGCGGCCCCAAAGTTAATAGTGATGTTTGTCTTTGCAATCACCACTAATAATAATCCATTAACCACAAGAATGGATTCTGTGCAGTAAAGCGTAACTTTCAGATACACTTTCAAGAGAAAGTGATCGACCTCGACTGGTCAGAACCTTTGTGTTTAAAGAACAAAGTTCTTGCTTTATTCCCTTTGTTTTAAGTGTAATTTCAATCTTTAATGGCCATCTTTATTGGTAGATAAAGTGCAATATATTGTGCAAACAATATCACGAAACAGGAGTCGTAGATATTTTTGATTAAATTCTTTAAATACTTCAGCTTTAGCGTATGAATGCAGGAATGATCAGTTCTTAGGCGTCGCGCCACCTGAAGGCCGCTGAATATTGGCCTTTCTTTAGATCATTAACTCTGTATTTACTTCGTTTTCTTTTCCTGAATACCGCTGTCAGTGACCTTGTGAGAAAAGGTTATTCAGAGCGTCTACACATTTTTAATGCCAACTGCCCGACTGATTCCCACACAACTTTCCATGATTTTTAATAAAAGTCAGTCAAATAATCTGCTAAACTCATTCATCATTGCTTGGTTCATTCATTATAGCCTACAGTATTACGTTCCGTGCAGCTGTGAAATAATAACCTTGACCTGGAGGGTGTATTTTGCATGATATGCAACTGTATGCAATGCAATACTTGCTCCTATTTTTATCTACAGTAGTTCTATTTATAAAGTGTATTCATGTACACTACTGGTAAAAAGTTTTAGATCGGTAAATTATTTTAATGTTTTTGAAAGAAGTCTCTTCTTCTCACAAAGGCTGCATTTATTTGAATATAGCAAAAACAGTAATATTGTGAAATACTGTTACAATTTAAAATAACTGTTTTTTTTTTCTGTTTTCCTTTGAACTTTCTATTCATCAGAGAATCCAGAGGAAAAAAATCTGTACACAACTGTTTTCAACATTGATGATAAAAAGAAATGTTTCTTAAGCAGCAAATCAGCATATTAATATTATTTCTGAAGGATCATGTGACGCTGAAGACTGGAGTAACGATGCTGAAAATTCTGCTTTGATCACAGGAATAAATTACATTTTAACATATATTCACTTAGCAAACAGCTATTTTAAATTGTAAAAATACTTCACAATCTTACTGTTTTTACTGAATTTTTGATAAAATAAATGCAGCCTTAGTGCGCAGAAATGAACTTTTATTTTTAAACATTAAAAAGCCTTGCCAATCTAAAACTTTTGAACCTTGAATAATAAAGTGAATATTATTTTATTTTTTAAAATGTATTTTTTTTACTCTTGTTTAATATTATTTCTGAAGGATCATGTGACGCTGAAGACTGGAGTAACGATGCTGAAAATTCTGCTTTGATCACAGGAATAAATTACATTTTAACATATATTCACTTAGCAAACAGCTATTTTAAATTGTAAAAATATTTCACAATCTTACTGTTTTTACTGAATTTTTGATCAAATAAATGCAGCCTTAGTGCGCAGAAATGAACTTTTATTTTTAAACATTAAAAAGTCTTGCCAATCTAAAACTTTTGAACCTTAGTGAATATTATTTTATTTTTTAAAATGTATTTTTTTTACTCTTGTTCCAGACCCATCTTAAACTAAAAACTATTATCAAAATATTAATTATTAAATGCGAAACTATGATAATTTAGTTTAACATTTCTACCGAAGATTAAAATGAGAAAACTGAAAGATTAAAAATTGCAATATTTATTTTGTACACAGAATACAAATATTTCTCTTTAGGTTTATACATCATTACTATGGTGGTGGATAGAAAACATAAACAGAGTCCGTAATAGAAACTGAATATTCACCAGGTAATATTTTATAGCCTATAATTTTTGTTTTTCAAAAGTGTCTTTATATTATTTGAAAATATATAGTTCCCTTTAATGCGTCTGGCCATCAAAAAGTTTGACAACACCTGCTTTAAAATACAATACTTGACAGTCTATTCTATTTGATGGAAATAACATTGTGGTGAAAACTATAAGAAAAAAAAGGGTTGCCTGATGTGCATATATGTCCGCTGTAAGGTAGCACCATCCAGTAGCCCCTCACACAAGATCCAGGGGGCATGGTTGGATCCACATCTAGGGGGTGGAGATGGGTGGGTTTAGGTATATGTAAGATGGGAGGAGTTGGATCTGGATCCAACCACGCCCCCTGGATCTTGTGTTCTGCAGTGAGGACCACCTCGTGCCATTGTGAATTTAAAACGTTCCGAGGAAAGTGAATGAAATATGCTGAAGAGTGTAATTCAACGTTTGACCGCTAGATGACAGACCTTCTCTTTAGCAAAAAATGCTCTGTCAATGCTCTCCCTCCTCCAGCAGAGGGCGCTCGTTTAGAGACGTTCTTCACTGTTCTTTATTTTACAGCGAATGCAATTTGAACTACACAAGAAACATTTCCATAACATGTATGCGGATTTGACTATTGAATCTGAGCAATATTAAGCTAAAACGTTCCCGTGCTTATATTAATTTTTTGATCATGTATTATTATTAAAAGGGGGGGAAAAGCCTCGAAATAGGCTACTCAGTACGAGGTTCAACCATGGGTTTAACTCGCGTTCAGCGAGTGACCTACAAAGTGCGCACTAACCTTAACGCGCAGCTCGCTTTAAAACCTCAGTGTCCCTTTAATCTGCGGATCAGCGCGCTGACGTCAGCGGACCCCCGCTCCCATTGGCTGGCGGTGACGTCAGCCGCGTTTTTTCCCCTCCTGAACCATGACCTCATCCTTAGTTCATTATAGTACCTAAGTGCACCTTCTGTTTTCCCGGTTGGCTAATATCTGCTATAGCTTATCTCTCCGCTCGCCGGCCCAGAGGCGACACGGAGGAATGAGGAGGTTCTGGTGGTTTATTCGCATGTGACAGCAGTCCGGACTCATGAGTAGTATACACTAGTGACGGCTGACATGGAGAGCAGCTGAGACACTCGGGAACAGGGCAAACGGAGGTGAGCGCGGGCTGTGGAAGGGGCGGACGGATATTTGAGAGCGTGCTTGTGGCTTTATTTGATGAGAGGCGAAGAGCGCCTGTAGTTTTGGGATGGACGGACTGGCGCGTGTCGAGCACTAGTGTCTCGTCTGGATGAGGGCAGCAGTGTGCCTCAATGACGGGCTGTGCTGAGAAATCTGCATGTATTGTGTGCTCATGCCTCATGCATAAGAATGACAGGATTCTGTGACAAATAAGACTGCATGTTTCTCTTCTGATGCGAGTGAGGCTTGTCTCGCACTGTACACTGCAGCATGATGTACACAGATGGAGTCTGGGAGCTTTGTGATCATATATAGTACATTTGATTTACATGAAGGATTTCCAGTGCATATAATATGTCTTATTTATTTATTTATTTATTTACATGAAACATCAATAACAACAACACTTTTAATATGTATTAATAAGCAACAATAAACAGTTATTCATTACTATTTATAGATAGTAACATTATATTTTAATGTACGTGATATATTGCTTATTTTGATCATTAATTATATGTTGAGCAGTAATATGTTGCTATTATTGTTATTAGTAATAATATAACCTTTGATATTAACATGAATAATGAAATAACAACAGTAAACATACTTTTTAATATTTTGCAGTTGTATTAATAACAAGAAAATCGTTTAATTATTAAAATAGATATTAACATTATAATATATAAAATATAATGAATACACCATATGATATTATCTGTTTTGATCATTCATTATTTACAATAAAAATAATATTTTGTTGTAATAATTGTTAAATTGTAGTGATATATATATATATATATTTTTTGATCATATTTAAATTGATATTAACATGAATTAATCATTTTATAAAACATTAAAATGCTTATTATATATATATATATATATATGTGTGTGTGTGTGTGTGTATAATTATGTATTAATAATAAATACAGTCTTTGAATTATTATAATCAATATTAACTTTATAGTATATAAAATATATTGTACTAGTTTAAAAAATAATGTTATTTTTCTTGAGCATTATTATTAACATTAACAATAATATTTGTTATTGTTATTAGTTGTAATATAACAATATAATAAAATAATAATGAATATAAAATAATATAATATAATATTTTATATTTACATATTTATTTTCCCCATTGATTGCTATTAACAAGAAACAATAGTAAAATACAAATGTTACCACTTGATTCACAACAGAGGTTGGAGGTTTTATTTTTTACAAATTAACAAACATTAATGACAAAATTATACATTTTATAGAACTGTTTTTATAAAAATAAAAAGACCTCTTAATTTAAACAACAGATAGATACGTGTTATTTTATAATTTATTTAATTTAGTAATTTATTTAAATTTATTTTTATATATATATATATATTTTTTTTTTTTTTACAAATTAATAACCAATAGATTCTAATTATTAATAATAGATATTAACATAATATACAATATATAATACATTACAATGTATACATTTTCTAGTATATAAATTAGCATTATTATTTCATAAAGAGTATGATAATGCATAGATAGAAAGATAGTTAGATTTGTAATAAAATAATTAGGGGAAATATTCATTAAATGCTGTATCAGTCTCTACAATGGCATGTTGCAGCATGACTCCTAAGACAGGTGTGGAGACGGATGTGGCGGTTCAGGGTAATAGTGTGTGTTACTCTGACCCTGTTCAGAGCGGTAATCTCAGGCTGTCAGCGTTCAGACCCCTGCAGAGCTGAGCCAGTGCTGAGAATTACACCGGATGGAGAACTAGGGGGTTTGCGAGAGGTTGCCTGATTTTACTGAGATCTTGAGTGTTTTCTTACAATGTTTATGATTTAAGTGAGCGCACATGGTTATAGTTTGTCTCGGAAGGAAAACTTTGAAAATATTGCTGCTATATACTGATGCACTGATTTGAAATGTGATCTATTCTTGTGATTTAAAATTAAACGAAATCTTCGTGTGCCATCATGAAAAAGACAGATCGGCCCATGTTTAACAAATCCTGTTCCTCACAACAGATGATATCACTGCAACAATGATTAACAAATGCATGCAGGCTCAGACAGAACAATGCTCTGCATCAGCGTGCGTATGGCACAGAGTCCAAATAAGTGATGTCATCCATACAGTTAATGAATAACCTGGATTAAGATATTTTGCTTTCCTTTTTCCTCCATTTAGCGATGTTTGTTCGCAGCTGTTCAGGTGCAGTCTGTCATTAAAAAGCAATCGCTGTCACTTTAAATAGAGACGTGCTTCTCTTTGTTTGGCTGAAAAACATTGCTTTAGGATTTAAGGCCCATACACAACATGAACGATAACTATAACAATATCTATATTAGCGTTGACGCCAATGGGCGTTAACGTTCTGTCTCTTTTAAGTAGTTTTGTCGTCTGCTGCTTTAAATGTTCGAACTCTTTGAATTCCGTTGGATTCTGATTGGCTGACAGTGTTTTTATCGTTTATCTGGAAAAAAATTGCTCGGAAAGTGATTCCAACGAACAACAATATCGTTCCTCTGTGTCGTTGAAGTTATAGTTGTGGTGCGAATCTCCTTATTGCCATTGATTTTTGGGGGCGTTTACTCGACACCATTTTCAACTAAAAACAGAAAACTTTTTATGGGTTTTGGGCGTCCATATACACAACAATGGCGTTTTGGTGCAAACTTTTGAAAACGGTGTTAAAGTGCAAATTTTTGAAAATGATACCTTTAGGGCTGCACAATTAATCAAATTTCTAATCGCAATTACAATTATGGATGCCACAATTACGTAATCGTTCAAAGCGGCAATTAAACGTTCAAAGTCCACTTATGTTATTCTGCACGCTTAACATATGTTTTTTTCTTTCTACATATTATCTTAAGGGTTTTTCCATTGTTTTAGTTTGAATTGTTTTAGTTCGAATTATGATTTTTGTCATAATCGTGCAGCCCTAGATACCATTATCACCTCCATGACATCATGCGTGTGTGTATTACGTGTTCAGTCTATAGGAATGCGTAGTGTTTCTTTACAAAGTGACGTCGCCAACTACTGGCCTGGCATGAATAATACAACGTTTTTTTAGTCGTTTTCGCGGATCCGTGTGAACAACGTTGTCTGTATGCAAAACTCTTCAAAAATGCAAAGGAAAAACATTTCCATTTTTATTACAGTTGTGTTGTGTAAACGTACCCTTTGAACATTTTAACGTTATCGTCCCTGGTGTAAACGTGCCTTTACTTTGAAACAGTTTTTACTCCGAAATTGCTAATAAATTTCACAAATAATTACAAAGTAACAATTTTTAAGTAGAAAAACTGAAATAGTATTTTCTTGCAAAATATGCTTCAGTAATCTTTTGTTTTATTTACAAGTTACAACCAGTGTTATTATAACATCAATGAGATAGTATTAGTTTTTATTTTTACATTTTGTTTTCATTTTAGTATTAGTTAATTTTAAGTGTTTATATTTGGTTTTTTGTCTTTTTTATATACATAGCCTAGTTTTTATTCATTTAATTTTAAGTTTTTCTGTTGTTTTATTACATAAAGTTAACCAAAGTTAAAATGAGAAATGTTGCCTTAGCAACAAGCTGAAATAATTTTTATTTAATTAATGTTTATTTTAAGTCATGAAAATGGGATTTAATGATCTCAGTTTCAGTTTTAGTTAGGCCTATATATAATAACCCTGTTTACAACTTCGAAAAATCTTTTTTTTTTTTTTTTTTACAGTGTCAGCTAAAAAAAACTCTTTCTATTAGATTTTTTTGGTGTAATTTCCCGACATTCATCTCGGAAGTAGTATCAAATCCTTGTAAATCAATAGAACAGATGTTTGGAGTGTTTGGGATGTGAGATGACAGCCTCCGCATCCTCTCCTCTCGCCCGGTCAACTTTTGCTCCTTTTCCGTTTCTCCATTCAGTTGCCATGGCAACAGTGTAATCTCACTCTTGTCTCCACAACAGCAATTTGCACCACTGTTTATGCCGGTGTTTTCGAGGAAGTACAGTATCTATATAGAGCTAACCTCGATGCAGCTGAAATAAAACGTGCCACACCTTGTCATCTCAGTAAATGCACGACAGGTGTGAATACTAAATAATAGTGCATAATAATCCTGGTCTCGAGAGAACACACACACCTTCTCTTGATGTCAAACTGCAGTGCACGGCACCCCCCCACCCCCCTCTCCACCCCACAACTGGAGTTGTCAAGCAGAAGGAACGCCATTAGACACATGCAGCGTCAGCCTTGTTATGCTCTGTCGTGCCTCCAATTCACCGCCGACTTCTCCATCTCATCCTGTGGCCCACGGGGGGGACTGTCGTCGTGTTATCGATCGGCCGATTGCAGGAGAGGTTACAGAGGGGTTTCTTTTCTCCAAGGTGTGGCTGAACATCCTTCCCGTGGAGCGATTAGAGAGAGGTCCTGTAAAGGATGGTAAGAAGGTTGGGGTCTCTGGTGTCTTGTTGGAATCCTGTGTGTGTTTGCGTTCTGGTGAGATGCGGGTTATGGTTACTTATGGTGACTGGGAATGTGATCAAAACAAAGGCGTCCATGTTGGGATGCTGCTGGTCGCGTGAGGCTGATCCTCTGGCAGCGTCGCTCATACCGCGCTGGGTTTGTTTATGTGGATGTGACGTGAAAACGAGCTGCTTCATTATGAAACTGATGGATGATTATTTGACTTGCAGTTGTTTGGAGAGAAACACTGGACATGTGAAGTGAAATGTGCTTGTGTGTGTTTGTTTATGTTCTCAAATGTGCTGCTGGAATGCTTGTTTTTCTTGTTTTATGTTCTATATAGTGAAAGTGCTTTATGTAGAATATGTTTTTTTTTATATATGTGTAGATATGTTTGAGTGTGTGTGTGTGTGTGTGTGTGCGCGTTTCAGTCTCTCCCTGCTGATTTCTGCATGGCGCTGCAGATATCTCTGCGTCGCAGCATCACCCTCCCTCAATGCAGCAGCAGTGAGAATGAGAGATAGACGCAAAGAAAAAGTGTGAAAGTTTGAAGCAGCCAACAGTCAAGGTTATTATTGTCATTGAAAACTATTACAAAGACGAAAATGAGCAGTACAGCAAATATTTTCAAATAAAAACAAACACGTTTGCAAGCATTTGCGATTTTTTTTTTATCGTTTTTTTTTTTTTTGTTAAGCAAAATAGAAGCACAAATTAAAACTATAAATGTTTGATAAAATACAAATGAAAACTGGAATTAAATGTTATTTATTTTTTTTTTTCTTCATTCGTTTTTTGTTGTTGTTTTATTATTGTTGAGTAAAATAAAAAATGTAATTTAAAATTCATTTTTTTGTAGTTTTTCTTTTTCCATAATTCTTTCGTAGTGTTTTTATTGTTTTATTTTTTTATTTTTTAAAACACTTGCAATTTATCGAAAACTAAAAAATGTGTGCAAAATGTGTGTTTGTTGTTATTTTATTTTTATTGAGTAAAACAAAACCAACACAATTGTTTTTTCAAGTAAAATAAAAACAACACATTTGGAATTTTGCAAAAACTAAAAAAGTGTGCTAAAATCATTCATTTTTTGTTTTTCTTCATAGTTTATTTTATTTTTATTGAGTAAAACAAAAACAGAACAACAGTTTTTTTTTAAGTAAAATAAAAAACTGAAACATTTGCAATTGGATGAAAAATAAGCAAAATATAAATGTGCACTAAAATGCAATCGAAAACAATAAAAATGGATTAAAGTTTTCATGTATTTGTATTTGTTTATTTTTTTCATAGTTTATTTTTTTACATTGTGTTGTTGTTAAATAGAATAAAAACAACAAACAAATAAAAAGTAAATGTGCACTATAGTAGAAAAAAAATTTCAATGAGTTTGAAAAATTGGGAACAAATCATCTTTTTTTTTCACTCAGTATTGGATGGACTGATTCAGTTAATCACCCAAGCCTATTGTATTGTGCATTCTGTCAAAAAGAAGCAACCGTCTCATCATCATGTAAAACAACCAGCCACAGTTCACATTTCATTATTAAAGGGATAATTCACCTAAAAAAAATGGATATTGTGTCATCATTTACCCTGGTGTCATTTCAAACCTACTTTCTTCTGTGGAACATAAAATACAATATTCTGAATAATGTTTCTCCTGAAGTCAATGGGCATCAAAACCGTTTGGTTCCAAACATTCTTCAAAATATCTTCTTTTGTGTTTCACAGAAAAATAGGAAGTCAGGTTTGAAATGACATGAGGGTGAGTAAATGTTGACAGAACTTTCATTTTGGGGTGAACTATCCCTTTAAGTATTGTTTGAGGAAAATGGAACAATTGGTGGTGTTGAGTTACAAGAAATAAAACCTTAAACTAATACTGAACAAAAAAAAACTGAAACAAAAACGAATTATTTTACGAAGATACAGATGGAATACAAACTATTTTTGAACCGTTAAAGCTACTTAAAAGTAAACAATAATTTAAATAAAAAATACAAACTAGGCCTAAGTAAAATTAAAGCTGGTTAAATTTCCAAATCTTTGCTTACTGGCACATGGCAGTTAGAGAAGAGCTTATCTTGATCATCTGCTGAACCTTAACCACAGTCTTGGTTGTCTTCATTCGGCGTGCATCTCTGCTTAGACGCTCACTAACACGCCTTGTTGCAGTCAGCGAGAAGGAGTCTTTTTTGAGGAAACTCATTACATGAAAGCCTTCTAGCAAATGATACTTGTATGTGTTTTCACTTTTTTACAATGACAACCATAGCTCTGTCTGAATAAAATCATAATGCCAAACCTGTTTGTCTATGGAATGCAAAAGAAGAATTTGGACCCCATTGACTTTTTATTGAACAGCTGAAACATTCTTCAAAATATCTTCTTTTGTGTTCCACAGAAGAAAGTCATACAGAATGAAATGAGGGTGGATAAATGACAGAATTTGAAGGTGTGTATCCTTTTAGAATGAAACCGTTTCATTATAGTAACTATGGTAAACATGGTAAAGCATTTTTTACCTGTATTTTATGTTTTTCTGCAAGAAGGTTATTATTGAAGGCTTTCTCTTCATAAGATTTTATGAATATTTGAACCCTCTGCAGTGCAAACGAGTATTTCCCTCATCCTCGATTGGCTCTTGGTTTAGTCTTTTGCTCTGCATAATGTAATGGAGTGAGCGGTTTGGAGATTGAAGCATTCAGAAGGTCACTGCATACTCAAGCAGTTCCTGCTCTTTCAGGCCTGATCAAAACATCACCCCACTCATCCAGCCATAAACAATCGCTCTCCCTCCTTCACACATGCCTTCCTCCAACACAGATGCACGTACACTGAATATATAAAACTGTGTTCAGTCTGCCAATTGGAATATTTAGGCTAAATGTGCTTCTGCAATAACAAGATTATTGAAAAGACTATATATGATCCTTGCAGGAGAGGCTATAAATGGCACATTTTTTCCAGTCATGTTACATAATCTGTGTTGATTCAGTTTCCTAACGTCACATCTTCTCTGGCTGTAACAGGGTCAGTATGAAATGGATCGCCTAGTTCTGATCAAGATTTGCTGAGATAGAATCAGTATTGCCATTCATAAAATACATAACCATTAAATAAATATGAGCCTAGACCGAAATCTGTTGGTGTAGAAACTATTTTCACTCAGAAATTGTTAGTAAATTTGACAAACAATTAAGAAAAACTATGTATAT